TCGGCTATCATTAATTGTGGACACTATAGATAGTGCAATCTACAATCAATGGTAATAAACAGAAGAAAGTTTAAAACGGACAAACGCTTAAACAATCCAATAATTTTAGTTCAACGCAGGTAATCATAATTTAGAATCCTAAATTCTAATTTTATTTTATTTTTTCAATMATGTGAGTATTTTTTCCATCATACGGTGCCGTAAATGCGCGTATGCACGATTCCTAATGTTAATTTTACCTCGTTTCACTTTGGTATATTTACGTTTAGAGTTTATTTTAACAATAAATTATTATTCTACAGACAATTAATAATCAATAAATTATACGATTTGTACTAAATCGTTGTATAGCGATAGCGTKATTATCATCGAAAAGGTGTGTGCGTGTGTATATTTGTACACCGGCCCAGTCTTTTTAATTAACGTATAATGTATTGTAACTTGTAAGGTACAGTATATAGACAAAAAATTATGTATAGTACTCATATTATAGATTAAACCTAACCTAACATAGTAAACACAAATATCCATACGAATGTAAGTCTTATCCAGTAGTCGTTCAATAAGATGTGTTAGTTGTTAGTTTTCATTATGTTAGGGTTCAACTGAACTCAAACTAAAATATTTATTTATAAAACAACAACTATTTTTTTGGCTGACATTTTTGACTATGTTATAGCAATATACTAATAGATTACTAATAGTCACGTTGGACATGATTTGTATGCATGGAAAAAATGTCTTGTTAGATTTATCTACGTTTTATATTCTATTTTAAAAAATGGCATTAAAATGATAACTCGGCCAGTTTATCATGACATTCGGCAACTTTTACGGTTTGACATATTAAGTGTTCTGTAAACTATTATTCAAATCGGATTTATTTTTAAATCGTAACGGTTGCGGGTTGACGAACTGGACGAGTTATTCTTTGAAATCCAACTAAAACTATAATAAAATATTAAAATTTTGAAGTACCTAAATGCTAAATAGTACATGATATTTTTATTATTCCATAAAAATTAACATACACATCACGTCATTACAGCATCAACATATTGCGTACTTACTACTTACTTTTCTTATTGACTTAAYGAGCTATTAAAAAAAAAACATTTAATCAGCATGATGATTTTAAGTTAATTTTATATGAATATATCTTGGYCAAGTTCAATAGTACGCAGTTATCCAAAGATTTTTCTCTTGCCACTGTCTACAGCCCAACATTGAATTAAATAAAAACAAAATGATTCAACTCTTGAACGACTTTCGATCGGTCTCGCTTTTCGTGTCTATACAAATATGACGTGTAAGTCATGCCATGAGCCGAGTATAATGGCGTAAAAGGCTTAGTACAATAATTGTTGAGCACACTCACGTGAAACGTTCGGCGCCGTCGATAATGTCGTGCGTGACCGTCTCCTTGGTGTTGGACACGTCGCCGTACAGCACGTCGCCGATGATGCCGAACCGCTGGAGCACGTCCACACCGCGACCGATGTCCACGTTGGCGGCCGCGTCCACACGGACGGCCGTCCTCAGCGCAAGCAGCAGCACTGCCGCGACGGCCAACGCGTCCATCGCCGGTCGTCGGATCCGTGAAGTGCGGACGCGCCGGTTGACGTTATAGCTGCTGCTGCTGTTTAACGATGCGGTCGGCGGTCCGTCGGTGCCGTCTTCCGGTATTGCCGCGTTCAGCAGCCCGCAGTGGCAGTGTTGACGGCGCCGTCCATCGCGTCGTCTGGTCAGCCGCTGCGGCAGTTCGTGTATATGATATGCAACGAAAACGACTACGTATCGTGCGTAGTAGGTAGGTACCTGGCGATTGCGRGACCGCCAGGCGGGGAGCGCGCGAACGTTTGGCACTAATAAGCGGCCACTCCGTATGCAGCACGTACACACCACGCGCACTGCGCTCCGCCACACATCACTTGCGTATTGTAAAATAATATTGTATTCCGCATAATAACAACAATAATAATAATAATAATAATAATGATAATCGCGTGCACGCTGTGGTGGAGCAAAAACTGAATGAGATATAATGCTTTTGCCTTTTAGTACAGGCGCAGACGGCCGACGGGAATTTATCATTATTTTTGTTGTAAATATCGTGTGAGTGCGCGTCGGAAAGTCTTGAGTCACACCGTTCGGCGGCTTATCTCGCCGGATGAGGTGTATTCGTTAAACAATCAAAATAATTCAACGTAGTTATTATAGCGCGCGCGTTTTACCTACACACCGCCGCCGTGGCTTGCGTATAGGTATATACAATAATTTATTACTGTATCGGAACTCGGAAGATAAACCGATCACCTCCGATACCGTTCCTGGCTACCTATTATAACATGCCTATATCGCATATGTTATATTATTTTAAATTTTAATATTACCATCATATTATGTAGGTATGTATATATATAAAGCGCGCGTGATACCTACTTTTTTTTTTTTTTTTTTTTTTTTTTTTTTTTTATTACTTTAAAGCCTCAACAACTAAGGTTATTTAAATATTACTTCTACATTAAGGTACAACTTACAGTACATTTTACAATATTACAATATAATTATTTTTGATATGTGGATTGTAGAAAAGGAAAAAAGATCAAAGAAAAAAAATAAAATTATATAAAGTTATACAGTTTGGTTATTTTTAGAAAGGTTAAAATATTGTTAGAATTTTCATAATCTGRTCCAAGTGCTTCATAAAGGTGTTCTGGAATGTTTAAGGAGGTTCTGGTAATCAGCAAAATTGCGGAAGTGTAGAAGGACGAGTTTAATGGTTATAGCTTCACCACAGGTTAAACATTGGACGGGATCTTCGTATCTCATAAGAAAACTGTGCGTAAGCCACGTATGGCCGATTCTGAGTCTGTTAATTATGACTTCATGACGTCTCTTGGTAGTGAATGTGGGCCAAGGGTTGATAGAGGGTTTGATTTCTCTTGATTTTGTGTGTGATGATGTCCAGTGGTGTTGCCACTGTTCCAATGATTACTCTCCTGATATCTCCCAGAAGTCCCAGAGAACAAACTTGCACTAAAGAGGCTTCAGGGGATGTTATAGCTCTTTTAGCGAGGGTTTCTGCTGTTTCGTTTCCAGGGATTCCGGTATGGCTAGGAATCCATAGCAGTGTGACGTTTTGATTGTTGTGATTTAGAAGAGAGTTTTGATTTTGAATCATTCTGGATATGGTATCGGGTTGGTTTATGTTGCGGATGCTGTTTATAGCACTAAGAGAGTTGCTTAATATGAGCACTTTATCTATTTTGAGTTGTTGAATTGTATTTCAARTGCGTGATAGATCGCATATGCTTCTGCTGTGTAGATTGAGCAGAAATCGGGAAATTTGATCATTTTTGATGTATTGTTGAAGTATACTGATACCCCTACCCCTGCTTCAGTTTTGGATCCGTCGGTGTAAAACTTGGTGTAATCCTGGTAGTCTTCAAGTAATGAAAGAGTCAAATTTCTAAAAATATAGTCCATAGTCTCACTTTTGATGTGTTGAGAAAGATCAGTATTGGAGTGTAGTTTATTTATACCTATTCGCCAGAGCGTGATGCTCGTGTAGCGTCTCCGACGATGTTTTATTCAGTTGCGATGGATTTGGTAAAAAAAATTTCAATTTGATTTAATCAAATCGTTCGATTGTTAAGTAATAGGTACAGGTCATCGTGAATCATCATGTAACATACGACATATGTATTATACATATATATATACACATAATGTATATTGTATAATAAGTAATAATAACTGCGAATAATTTTAAAATTTATTTTTTAAATATACATTAAAATTGTTGTTTCTTATCAATAAAAGTGTAAAGATATATCACCAATAATATTATATTACAAAGTCGTATCGGTGCTTACCCACAGAGTCACACAAGCGGAGGGGAGGTCAGAAGAGCACATGGTACTGAGACCCGGATTTTCGAGAGGCCCTCTGTTCATGCAAATAATTACTTCAATATATATTAGGAAAATGTTTGGGCTCGGATTCAGTTCTGTAACAGGGCCAAAAATATAATGTGGAGGCTTGGCTTGCTTACCCATATCGTAATCCTTACGCAATAATATTAATATTAAATTATATTTATATTGATCACGATATCAATACAGCAAAGTTATTGGCGAGTTCTTGTTTTCAATATATAGACTGCAGTGTATAAACGCTTAATGTCAGTTGCATTCAGTCTGAGGATTCCATCGCTGAATGACTTCCTTCATCATGTGTTTCTCGACTTCTACTGTCTTATTTTATGCTATGCACATGTTTATGTACCATCATCGCCGTTACTCATTGTATATAATTAATTAAAAATTGTAAATTCCACATAAAAAAATACATATATATGTTAACTGACGACTTTTAAACACTGGAATGTTCGATTTTTGTTTCACAATTGCTTTAACACGATACCCAATGTGCAAATTATTATTTATGTTTTTRCAATAATGTATTAATGCATCATGTCAAAATAAGTCTTAAATTGCAACAAATAGATGATAAATCCGCAATGGAAATTTTCGTCTTTATAAAAAAAAAATGTAGTGAAAACTAAGAGTTGTGGTTTTATAAAAATTATTTGAATTAGTACCTATTTGAACCTACGTATAAAATTGTGTTTGTATAGTATATACCTAAATTTAATGTTAACTATTTCATTTTTGTTTGATCGTTCTGTATATTTGAGATTATATTTTAATAAAATAACTAAATAAAATAAATATATTTAGGTACAACTGCGACGTATATCTTTACGATAAAATTGCACATCACACAAGTTTTGCGCGCATATCAGTCAATGACCAAAGAATTTATGATTACATACGTCGATGACGTTGTTTCGCTAATAGGTACCTACATACGTAGATATTATACACACCAGGAGTGGCTTTTTTTGTATAGAAATTTAATATTATAGCCCTCGACGTTACTGCAAGTTTATTGTTCATCATGAGTTTGACCTTATGTGTGAATGCATGTAATATGCACAATAAAACCGACAACGGTGGTTAATCGTATGTAGTTGAAATAATTGCGCTATAGATTGTACGATTGTATACATATAATATATAATATATGAACATATTATATATACATATTATTTTTTACAAATAGATGTTCGTGATGGTTCGTTTATCTGCCTATTATTATTCTATAATTTGCAATCACCTATACAATATTCTTGATTTATACGGATATATACCGTGGTATATATAGGTATAAAATATTTAAAGGTAGGTTCAATACTATAGTTCACGCCTTAAAAATACTAAAACTATTTACCTAACCCATACCCAATGTCCTAATTTTACATATATGAACCAATTATACATAGGTTATAGCTATTAGGTAATAGGTATATTCACTGTAGCTAATAGGGGGGGGGACTTTCGGCTATTATAGTTTTATACTTTTATCTTTTATCCTATATCAGTCGGACGTAGACTGATGAATAACAGGAGCAGAAAATGTAAAAGGTGAAAAGGGTTTGTTCCCCTTAGTGGCATAGTGTCGTGTCACGTGACTGTCTTGAAATCAAAACAAAAGCAAATAGATCTCAATAATGAGATATTATGTTCTTATAATAATAGAGTTGATTTCTATATGTTCAAATTATACAAAAAGCGTGATTATGTGCGATAACTTTATATGGGTACCTTAACTATACTGTCTATAGTCTATGCCATATATATATAAATATATTATAATAAATAAGTAGGTATATGATGTGTTGCTAATAATATATTTTTTGGGGGGTATTGACCGAACGTATAAAATATTATACGTCAAAATTATACCTATRTATTAACTAATAACCTTAAGACAAAGACACGTCGTTACACGCACTCACGATTATTCAAATTTTTTAAGCGATAACTGTTTTTCTGAATAGGTGCCAGCTACGTTTTCAATGTCAATTACATTTTGAAGTAAATAAATTACATTAATAACACATGTATATAAATAATTCTGTTTTTAATACCGTTAGTTGTATAATATGTATAATGTATATACTAAATAGGTAAAAATGATACAATATACACTCTGTCAAAACGAAATCGGAATGGCTGTGTAACCAACCACGGAAGTTGGAATTATTAATGATGAATCTATAAATTTGTAAGTTKTTACTCACTTAGTTATACTTATACTTCAGTATACCAATCAACATTAATAACAACTAAAAATGTATGTACAAAACAGCTATATATATTATGATGAATAAAAATAACGCGGCAAAATTAATATCTTAATATACGATCTCTCAAATAAACTTACTAGTGTAAATGTCTAAAAGAAACATGTCAGTAATTTGAGTAACGCTATTCTTATCATATTAACATTATTTATTTATTATTTTTTATTGGTTATTTCTCAATTCAATTTTACGAGTCAAAAACGTTGTTTCATTGAAGTCCTAAACGACCTAAACAAACGAGCAATATATAGATGGTAGGTACTTGTACCTATTACCCGTAGGTCGTCGACGTAGATAAAAAATAATGATATGATTACTTATGAATATTAAGATTCATGAATCTACTGTGTGTTGTATAACAAATTATATTTGGTTCGTCAATGGAACCGTATTCAATTGCACGCACACCGATAAGTACCTACCTATAGTTTACATAAATTAAAAATAATAATATATTATTATACCATTATATTATTTGCTAATAACATAATATAAGTAATATAATAATATATTAATATACCTATAGTATAGGATAATGGATTAAATACAATGTATAAATGAAATATGATTGAAAAAGTAAAACTTTAATAGGTACATCACAAAACTATATAAGTTGATGAATATAAAAGTTTTAAAAAATAWTTACGTTTTACAAATTTATAAAAAACCACAATTTTAAACTTAACCAAAATAGAATAAACTCAATACTATATAAAATTTCAAGGTTACTATAGTTTATTTTAATTTTAACACTATTTCATCTTTGATTACAAAGGAATTTAAAATAAATATTGCGATTGATTTGTTTTGTTGTATTTATGATACCTATTATAGTTAAAAATTATTAACAATATTATGTCGTTTAAAATAAAAATTTATTGATATTACATAAATCATACTAACATTAAATAACTAAATAATTATTAATAGTTTTTTTTTTTWTTATTATTATTCATGGTACAGCTTCAATTGCTAAGGTTATTAGCTTGCAACAAAATTAAGTACCTATTTAGTATAATATATAATAAAATATAGTTATACAATAGATTCTTAAATTAGATTATACATATCAATTGTATTATTGTTGGTCATGTCTCATGTTATAATAATTATTTTACTTTATTCTCAACCACTTATACAAAATTACAAAATGAAGCTTATTTATATAGAATATGCTAACTTCATTAAAAAGATGTTTACAATAATAACTTGTAAGTTATAAATTACCAGTTCCTAAAATTGTATTGTTTAATTTAAATTTAGTAAATGTTTTAATAAAATAAAATTAGTGAAGTAGATGTATCATAAAAAGTAAAATATACCTAAATACATTTGAAGGTTTACGAAAATATCAATAATTTATATCATTACATCAAAAACATTATAAAATAGTATACGGAAATGTTATGTTGATACAATATTATGTATGAATATATGTTTGATATTAAAATATWACAATGAACAGAATACAATACACAATTTGTATTTTTCATCAAATTGATTTTAATGTTTATTGTTATTTTTATTTCCATGACAACTACGGCTAAATATATAGCTTAAAAAATCATAACAGGTAGGTTAAAGTACGTTGCTCCTGCGTCCTGCCTGATAGTACAAAATGATCGTTYGGATTAGCACAAACGAATGGTGTCTAAAAAAAAATGTCTCTTCATACATCGTTAGTTTTTGCTATTTTTGCATTAGTATTTGGTAAGTTTATCAAATAAATGAAGAACAAAAGTGGATAGTTTAAACGATTAGTTAAAATTTTAATTTATTATAATGTTTAAAAATTGTTTTTCCTACTCTAAACAAAATCATTACCAATTAAAATTTTATATTTACAATAATTTATGCTATAATATTTAAATATAGTCAAACCAATAACACCCATTGATGAAATATATATATCACCATTCATCTATGACGTACAAAATAAGACTGATGCAGTAATTTCTATAAAGGGATTGGCATCTACAGTGGACACGATAAAATCAATTACATGCAATGTAATGGATTTGGATTCTCAAATTATTATGGTAATACAATTTATTTTATAGAATTATACGAAAAATACAAATAAATAAATCTTTTATATTATTTTAGTCATATACGATCAAAAAATTTGGGCACCTATTTTAAAACAAAACTCGTATCGTACAATTTTTCTGAATATTTCTCAAGCTTGTAAGCAATTAGTTATAGTAGAGGGGCAGAGTTATAAATAATTCACAATTTATGGAAAATATAAAAATTATTTAAGCATACACATTTTTTAAATTCCAATCGGATGTTTGCATATCGTACAGATATGGCGTACTGTAGTTACACGAAAATAATACGAGTCCTGTATAAATTCCAATGAACCTAATGAAGAATATTATTAAGCGAAAATCTGATGAATGTCAAAAATTAATAGTAATAACTAAAAAAATGTACTGTCATCTGTTAATTAACAAAACTAAATGAACATATTTATATATATATTATATACACATAACATGGTATTGAAGTTTCAAAAACTTTGTATTTTTGTAATTTACTTTAAAATTTAATTTTTATATTTGATATGTTAAAAATGTATCATTCTTTCTGTTATTATAGAAAACTGATATAAATCTAAGTGACACGTTTACGATATTAGCACGATTTGAAATACCAACAGCATTAGGTGCTTTTAAGATACAATGTTCAAAATTCGGTTCAYTTTTGAACTTTTATGGTAACTTTTTACTTGTTAACAGTCTACATTTGATAATCGGAAACGTTGAACCAAATACAATAAAACTAGGAGAAAGTGTTTCAGTAAGTATATATTCAATGCTCATTCAGTCTTTCATGTAAACTTTTATACAGTTGACTCTCGATAATTCACTCTTTGGTAATTCAAAGTAAATGCTCGGTCCCTTGAAAATCACTCGGTAATTAGAATAAAGAATGTCTTTATATATATGAATATCAATAATGACATTTAAGTACACTCGGTAATTCAAAATTAAAATTTTGAAAACTGGACACTATTACGTGACAATTCGAAGTATCCATTCAACGATCRGTAATTCGAAGTATATCCACCAAATTAAAAAATTGAAATGAAAAAATGAAACTAAATTTGATAAAACAGAAAACCATTATAGAGTTCTTCTTCTTCTAATAATTTTTTATTATAATAATTTAATTTACATAGTATAATTATTAGATATATAATTTAATTTACAATTTAAAAACAATATATAAATTTAATATGTACCACCTGATTTGCTAAAATAATTAAAATTATATACAAAACTAAAAAAAAATTTTTTTCTTAACCCTCAGTAATTAGAATTTTTTTTGCTCTCTCTATTTTGAACAACTCAAACTAACAATTAGAATTATCGGTAATTCGAAGTTTTTGAACAGTACCGTCAACTTCGAATCATCGAGAGTCGACTGGACTGTAGCTAGGTTAGGTACTTACGACACTTCCGTACTATGACGTAGTGTCACTCAGTGGCGTGCGCAGGGGGGGATGATGGGGGATATATCCCCSCCATGGGCTTTTTTTTAGTCTTCTAATACGAGTGGATTTTGGATCTCTAGTTCATCAACATAAACATAATACATTTTTATTTATGACATCCTCCCCCATACCAAATTCCTGCGCACGCCACTGGTGTCACTATAGCCAGGGGTAGACATGTCCGGCGGGATGACAGCAGTTTATACCCGGTGGCCTGGACTGATTTTCATGTTCATGGCCTGACTGACAATAAAAAAAACCAATTTTTTGGCCCGAAATATTGTCCCAGTCAGTCCCCAACTATAGCAATATTGCAGTATTGCACTATAATATCATAAATATAATTATAATAATTAATATTTTTTTTTTGTGTACAAATTACATTTTAAGTTTAAATTGGAAATATTTAACTTGAGTGAGCCTGTTCCTTTATTATGTCATTTAACTGATGGAGAAGATTATATCATTTTACCAACAAACTCGATCAATGGAAATAAACTATCTACATGGATTACATGCCCTGAATATAAACTTAATAGAGCTGCTGAATACCAAATAACAGTAGTATACTCAACAGGCGCAATTGATGCAATGTTAAAGTATGATAAAAATATATTTATAAAATTAATTTTAGAATAATTTATTAAAACATATATTTTTTATTATAATAGTCACTGTACCTACGGTGTGCACATGCGGCGATTTTTTATCTAAGGTTTTATAGAATACATGAAAAATACCTATATAGATATTGAATAATACAATTACATTATACGTTTATACTACTTACCTATATCGACAACATATTTATATGTGATCTTTAATATATATTATTCTATAGTTCGAAMAATTTCAAAGTAGTGACGGTTCAGGCCGATCGTCCAAAAGTGATGAAATCTGGATTTACTAAAGATTTGAGAACTATTTGGTTTCAATTTGATCAAAATATAGAGGGACCAGATGTGTGTGATGCCATATTCACGCCAATCACATTAAATCAAATTGGTCATGGTATAATATAATATGAACATTTATGATTTATGACAACTGGACGTTTTCAGATGTTAAATAATATTATTTTAATTTGTATAGACGCTGTTTGCTGGTTTTCTTCAGATCATTTAACGGTACTCCTAGGAAATGTGAAAACTATTAAAGAAAACAAACTTCATATTCAATTTGCTTCAAGCAATAACATAAGGAGTTTTCGGTCGTGGCCTAATTTGAGTTCAGCTATGTTAAATATTGACATAATTGTACCAATAATTCCTTCTGAGGTGATTAATTTTCTTATACTCAAAACAAAATTGTTTATTTAACACAGTGGTTCTTAATATTTTTGACACTACGGACTACTTAGAGAACTTTCGATACATCACGGACTTCCATTAATCTTATTTATTATCTGCATTCTGCAGCCTGATATACAGACAGAGCAGTGCCAAGAGTAGGGGAGGTTGCAAATAGGCAAGTGTCCTAGGGTGGCAAATTTTTAAATATGTGTGTTTGATAGAGGTGCTAATAAAAGTTAGCCCGGCGCTATAGGATACAGAATTACAGAAATATATAAATGTATAATATAATTATTAATTATTTTATTCGAATAAATACTGTTGTCATCATTCACACTAATCTATAGACTCGAAATTATTATTTAAACAAAACACAGACAGATAAACATAATAGTCATAGTGATTACAAATTAAAGTAATAATAATCGAGTGAAAACATGTTATAGGTTACACTGCCTGTATATTGGTTGAATGGACCTCGACAATTCTGTAATGTTGACGATGGCGTCATCCTTGGAACACAATCTACGGACCAACCTGTATATGATTGTATTGGTTCTCAAGTCATAAGTGTCTCTACGTCTGGTTCACCTATGCTCAGGTTTAGTCCAATATTAAGTTTTAATGACCAATTTAACTCTGCACACATGTCAATAGACGAGTCTTCACAACGGTCATCTTTAGTGAGGAATAGTGTCAGAGGTCTTGTGATATTGATAAATCAACAAAACTTCACAAACAGCATTTGTTTAAACAGTGCTTTGGTAATTTTTATAAAAACCTACATGAATATATATTTATTGATGTACCTATCGAATATCATTGGATGGTATTTAATTAATCGCAATTAMTTTTTGGCAGATGTTACCGTACGTAGAATATACTTTAGAATTGTCGGGAACAAATATTTTGAACCARTCAGGCTTGAGAAGTCAATTCAAATTCAAATTAATCGAAACCCATGGCATTAAATCGAAACCAAAATTGCAAATAATGGCACGTCCAATCATTGCAATCGGATCTGAAGCTATGTTTGAAACAGTGTTATATCCAATTTGTGGAGAGCCAATCGAGGATGATTATAATAATTTACAAGTAAAATGTGTTTAAAAATGTCTTATTCAATATTAGCATTATAATATATATTWAAATATTTAAAATACAAAAAGAAAACGGGGAACTCGGTTCTGTTATTTAATTGATTTTGATTGTATTTACAATGATCAATGAGTATAAGTTTGAGCACATATAATATTAGATTTGTTAAATTTGTTAAATTTGAATTTAATAAAAAATTATTATAAATGAATCTTAGAGAAGGAGATGGATGGGTCAGTATTTAATTATAAGAATAATTTACGTTGTATTATATTAATCTTATGACTTTATGAGTATAGAATTTGTTTTTAATTCAATAGGTTGATGGTTGACCCAATGTTTGCCGTAAATCTTAGATTTAAAAATCATAAGTTATAACTTACAAGTCGATACCATACCGTAAAATACATAATATGATATAATATCATATCATATGATTATCATGGTATAATATTATAATAGCATAACACATAACTATTAAATTAAGTTTACATTTTTGAACATTTCTTTTGTAGGTTTAGAAAAATAAGTACCTATAATGTTGATAAATAGATTAAATTTCATTGTTTAAGRTCTCTACAATCAATATTTTTTAATTAAATCCTTAGTAATATATTATTGACTCATAATCATATTTATCGAATTAATTTTGGACATTTCGATTAAAATTATAATTATTTTGTACTATAATTTTACAAGTGGTCTAGTTATCTAAATTTTTTCTGCATTAGGTACCTAACATGTGTTGTGATCGTGATTTTTTTCATAAATAACCTTCTGTTATAAAAATGTTTTTTCTGAAGACAGCATAGGTATTATRTACCAAATTCCTTGTATTATTTATTGTAAMAATGTGACTTATATACGAACTGATCATAATAAAGTAAATGTTATTATTTTCGTTGTACGGCACGTAAATGATATCTGATTCCTTATAAATTATTATTGTTTCGAATTTTCATATGGCTATTTTATCTTTTAACTGAGCTATTAAATTTATTTRCTCAAATGGGTAACCAAATTTTATCAGTTTGTATTCAATTTTGACAGAAGTCGCTTATATTAGTTAAACCACGTCCATATAATATAAATAACAACATATAAAGTTATCATTTCGTAGCGAATATCAAAATATGGCATAGCGTGCAATAAACACATATATAACTTAACATATGTATTCACTGGGTTTAAAAAATGTGCATTTGTATTCAGACGTTAAACTTTGTCCAGTTATATTTGCCAAACAAAAGACTATAACATAATATACCTAGGTACATCTAAATTATTTGTTTACCAACACGTGTCTTTTTAAATAAATACTAATTTCTTAAAATGTTTGTTACTCATACATTTTAGTTATGAAATATATCTCCGTTTGTAGTATAGCTGGTATTTTATAACCGAAAACAGTAAATACAATATCATTGGAGTGAACGGTCCAGTATTGATATTAGATACAAAAGRGCTAACTCGAGGCAACAACTATACAATTGGTTGTGAGTTACATAACGATATCCTTTTTGTGGAAAAAAAAACTACAGCCATGGCGAAGGTAAATTTATACCATCATAAATAATACAAGTACACATATTTAATTTTTCGTATATTTACAACTATACCTGAACTTACAGTCTACACATAATTCTTTAGTCCTACCCCAAGCATATTTTTTTTTATAATACATAATGTATATTATAATCTGTTATTATATCTAAATAAATAAACAATAACTTGTGTAAATGACAGAAGATGAAGCACAATGGCTTGAACACATGAAGAGGAGACTATTTATAGCAACAGAGTCTCAGAATATAACTTAGACATTTTTCTTTTATATTTTCTTCTAAAATKTAGTCCAGCTTCAATGTGATTTAAATGTATAACTGCGATGTTTCTCTATATTAATATGCCTACTCCAATATGTCTGTAATGAAAAATTGAATACTTCGTTCAAACCAACACTTCATATTATAATAAATATGTGACACAATATAGTGACATTTTTATTATTACTTTACTATTAATGTGAACTATCGAAATATGTAACCATCTAACCCGAATGAAACATTGTATTGTATTCATCTAGGGGGAATGGAAAAAAACATACTACTACTCTCAGTAATAAAAAAATTGTAATTATGGTAATGAGGGGTGGGCACGGGCCTCTTGTTCCCCCTTAAAAAAAATACCCAATCCCTTGTAATTGTTCTTAATCATATTTTACTACAAATCAAATATGTCATTCATATTGTAGATATTATACAAATTAAATTACATTTTAATTAGTAAATTAGATTATTTATATAAAGTTATGTTATATATGGGTCGCTCGGTCGTCATTTGCATATAGTGCGTACTATTATAGCTTAATTATCACTCGATAACAATATTGTCTATATTGAGCAATAAATTATTGTTTTTGACACATGCGTAGTTTTTTGTACTTAAGGCAAACTCTACGAACGGAATCAACGATTTGTTGAGTGGAGATAAACTCAGATTAAAAATACCYGGAATTCGCATAGGTAGGTACTATTTCCACCACGAGTGCATCGTGCATTCGTCCATAACATTTTGAATGTTTAACCAAATGCCAGAAAAATTTTAGTTATGAAAATCGATTARCAATCAACTTTGTGTATTTGAAACTCCTTTTAAATATCGTTCTTTAAGCACTACTAAATTTAAATGTATAATATTTGTTCACTTAACTACCTACAATTKCCATACATGTTATAACTAAAACAGAATGTCTGATAACCGATATATTTTAGATATAATGTGTCACTATAGGCCACCTGYTAGACAGGTAGTCTACTTTGTATTTTTCTAAATAAAAGTTGTTTTTTCTCTTTAGGTATAATTATAATTTATTAACTCACTATATATATACCTGTTATCTTCAATTAAATTAAATGTTGTATTAATTTTTTTAAACAGTTAAATCACCTTTCATTTTTATTAATTTTAAAACAAATAGGTACATACTTACATTTTATAAATAATTATAAAACACAATATGTTACTACTTTTAAAATATAAATATTTACATAATTAATGGTATAGGATGAAATCCAATTTGGAGTTGAACCATTTGACGCGAAAACAATTATTGTGCCACAGCAGATTGTGATTGGGTTTGGTCGATCCATTCACTTAAGGACTAAACATCAAAATTATGTCACGATGAAA